GGGATTCGAACCTACGACCTTTGGATACTAGCCCAATGCTCTTCCAACTGAGCTACGCGGTCAGGACGGTTCGAGTAAGTGATATTTCGGAACAGTATCCAGTTCCTTCAATACCAATGTGTTCTAGTAATGGTATTGAAGGAACTGGATACTGTTCCGAAATATCACTTACTCGAACCGTCCTGACCGCGTAGCTCAGTTGGAAGAGCATTGGGCTAGTATCCAAAGGTCGTAGGTTCGAATCCCACCGTGGCCGGGCATATTTTTCAAGCTCGCCCGGTGTGGATATGCACTCAGAGTAACATCGCAAACATATTATTCACCTGAGTACACAACACCAACACAGAAAAAAAAGATCTATGTTGTCTGTTGACAAAAACCCGGCTGTTTGACTTTTCTATCTTTTCTCCAACTGGACAAGATAATTCGTTTTTCAGATCGCATTAAATGGTAACAGCACAGCATAACTGGACCTCTTCCGGATCGCTTGTTCCTTACTTTTGTACTAACAAAAATGTTTAACCTCCATATTGAAGACCATGCAATGGTTTGGTACTTATTTCTAACCACCAAAATGACATGACGCCCCATTCTCAGAAGATGGAAAAGAAAATCCAAAAACAATCAAGTTGATAAATTGAGTGACGTAACGTCAGTTTTATACATACACTGTATCAATGGTAAAAACCTGTCAAACTCGTTACCAAACTTTTCCCTCTTCTGGAGTACCGGTAATTAAACACCGGTTAATTAAAAACCTGTTTGGTCTGGTGATTCCCGGAACAACAAATATATAGTACTATACTCAAGAAAATGGCACCGAAGGTAGCTCCCTATGTACGGCAAAAGAAAAGTAAATCAGGAAAGCTTCTAGATTTCCTTGGTTGGTTTACTGTCATTATTTGGCCTGTATTCCACTTTTTCTGTAAATTGTTCCCATGCGACGAGGCAGACCCTATTGATACGAAGCAAAATGACATTAAAAGTTCGCTCATACTGATGGACGATGAATATGGCGAAGAGACTTCAAGTTTGCCTATTTCTGCCGCGAATTCGCATCACACCTCACTGGAAGATTTTAAAAATCACTTTCAACAATTTGGAAAAGATGTGCACGACAAAGTAATCGAGGGAATCTCTCAAAGTAAGTATTTTAATAAGGATATCGGAAGGGGAAATTAGAACAGGAAAATCAATTCGTCAGCGAATTGTAATGTACTGTACTTAAACAATCAATCGTTCTTAGATTTTTTATGTCAAGGTTTATTGTAAATACCATCGAGAAAATGTTGCATTATAACAGCAAAGAATATAGGATGTTTAATTCAATAGAGTTCGCCATAAAACTAAACTGTGAAAGGTATTCGCAAATATGAATTGGCGTGCATGAGAGGGGAAATTCCCATAAAGTACATGCAGATAGCCTTGTATGCTATATTGTGAACTACAGTATTGTGTTTTGTTTAAATAACTACTTCTCACGTTTATAGAGCTTATCCAATTGTTGGGCAAAGAACTTGAACAACTGATACTGAAAGAGCTCCGTACAAGCTTCTGTGGCAGGTAAGAACTTCATTTTATTGAGGAACTCAGTATTAAGTGATTCTGAAATGTTTAATGTTATAATGTTTTAGATTACTGCAGTATTTTAACAAACAAAACTGTCTAATTATTCTGGTAACTGATATCTACAGTCTGATATAAATAAATAGCTTTGGTGTAGTTTTGATATTGCATTAGCCAAGAATATGAGCATAAATTTATCAAAACATTAAATAATGCAGGTGCTTTGAATTATTAGGCTGTTCCAGAGGTTTATTTTCATTGTATATAATGTTAGAAACAGTGATGACTATAGTGAACATAAACCTCTGGTTGAAAGCAATTGATTGATCACACCATGCCAATTGGTTTAACCTAGAGTCACATTCTGTCTCTTGACTGAATATAATTACACAAAAAATCTCAATAATTTATTGCATGGTCACATTCTCAATTGTGTTCTGATTGATTTTTTGTTACAGTAATTTGATGTTATTGTACAATAGTGCGGCTATTGCTGCTTCCAACCAGAGTTTTATTTTAATTTGCTTCACCATTTTCAATACAATGAAAATAAACCAGTGTATAGCCCATTCTTAATTTATCAGTATATATAAGAATTCAAGACTTCCATAGTCATAGACACAAGAAAGAGGCTGGGGCTGCAAACATGCAACAGTCCAATTTAGATCGTATTTTATCAAAATTCTCCTCAGCTGGTTTTCAGATGAAGCTGTTGAAAAATTATTGCCAGTTTCTCTTTTCACACATTTTTGGTGAATTCACATTTTCACCTCTCAGCTCATTTGTGTAAACTTGTAACCCTTTGATTGGGAATTTGCCCTGCAGATGTGCTTTACTTAAAGACCATGTAAAGTCTGTTTTGCACATACTGTACGTTCTGCGCACAGGCTTACATTCCAATGGTCGGGACCCGACCGTTGGAATGTTATTAATATTTTGTATCTTTTGAACTTTCTTGAATTGAATCTCTAGTCTGTATTCATTTACAAGCATAGCAAACCAGAAGAGTGTTAAAAATTCAGTATAATATATATCTAATCATATTTTACAACTGTAGGACTGAGTTCAAAATGTAAACAAAGCATTTGTTTACATTATGTACTTTACATGGTCTTTAATTATTTTACTCGGAGTGTCTATAACGCCAGGCAATTTTACATGTCAAAAGGGAAGAGTGCTTGCCACTTTACACAATTATGAGCCAGATATTATAGGAATGCCAGGTTCAATTAGTATTCAGGTTTAATTTGCTTGTGTTCGGTTAGGAATGTAAGATTAAGGTTTCCTGGAAGATTACGTATTCTAGTATACTGCCACGTATAGAAAAGTACCCTTGTACCCTAGAACTTGCAGTTATAGAGATTGACAGCTGGCCGCTGCAGCTCAATTGATTAAAGCACTGCACCTACAGAATACAGGGCCTTTTTTAACATACAAGCTGGGGGGGCAAATGCCCCCCAGTCCCCCCTTGTGCCCCCCCACGAAATCACATTTTGCCCCCCCAGGAAAAGTCCCTTTTCCCTTAAATTATAGAAACAAACCAGCGAAGATTAACAAATACATAAACGGAAAGTAAGTTTTAGGCGTTATCCTTTGTCCTTGTTTAACAAAATTTAAATTGTTACTTTTTTCTACCACTAAGTAATAATAAATTATTGTTAATAATTTTTTTATTTTTTGGATGCTCAAAATGCAGGAAATAGCATTTCCGGGTTTCAAATTTCAAAAATTTTCTGGGGATTATCCCTCTAATAAGTAATGATAAATGATGGTTATTTTTTTTACGTTTTGGGCGTTTTTTCTTTTATTATTTGAAATACAAGTATAGTTAGCATAAATTTTGGAGCAAATTTGGATGCTCAGAATGCAGGAAATGATATTTCCGGGATTCAAATTTCAAAAATGTTCTGGGGATTATCCTCTAATAAGTAATGATAAATGATGGTGGCTAATTTGTTTTACTTTTTGTGCATTTTTCCTTTATTTATTTCAAATACAAGTATAGTTAGCCTAAATTTTGGAGGAAATTTGGATGCTCAGAATGCAGGAAATGACATTTCCGGGATTCAAATTTCAAAATTTTCTGGGGGAATACTCCCCCAGACCACCCCCCATTCATGAGTGGTATATTGGCGACACACGTAGCCTTCAGCCATTGCTACCCCCTCTAATATATTATATCACAGAAAAGTCCCTTTTCAAAAAATGCCCCCCCACAGGAAAATCCTTAAAAAAGGCCCTGACAGAATAGCAGAGCCACAAATTCAATTCCTGCAAGGTACCTAGCTACAGAAAAGTTGTTGCATTTTTTTGCAGCTGTTCCAAGTCAAGTCTAATAAATGTACTATATAAATTTACACTCGATAACTTGGGACAGCAGTCCTCCCCCCCCCCCAGAAAAAAAAATTAGTAAGGCACATTCTATACTTACATACTGCATGTACAAGACTTAGACTGGCCCTCACAATTAGGAAGTCTCAATTTGTCCTTTTTGTTTGACCTGCAATGTCCATTCAATACCTTTTTAATCTCTTGCAATCTCTTGACATATTGCTCTGCAAAATATTTTGTAATTGCAATTAACATTTTGATTTCACTGTATGGGAAATCTATAATAACCAGTAATGGCAAGAGCAATTTTTACATTTAAAAATCCATTTTACATTTAATTTAAATGTTTTTCTTGGGATAACTAATTAGTATGCAGTGAATGACGTCACCAATAAGCATCCAGAAACTTGTAGTTATCTAGATTTTTAGTTCAAATCTTGAAAACTTGACTTAATTGGATCAAGTCTAGAAAATTATATTAAGTCACTATCAAGCTGAGTCAAAGTCGATATAATTGTATATTAAAAAATAATGCACTTGCAGATAACTTCTTCGTAAAATATTTAATATTTATTAACTTAACAGTTATTTGCCGAAGGCAAGGTAATTATCGGGGAATATTCGCAGAGACGAAGTCGAGGTGATAATCACCATGCCTGTCAGGCGAATAATTGTTTTAGTTTTTTACACAAGTCTTTTGTGGTTTTTTGGGACTGAATTTAATTTAATTTCACTTATTTCTTTATCAGTAAGTTCCACAAAATGGCTATAGCCTCCATTTTGCAAATTTCGGTCTTGTCATATTCACCTGTAGGTGAATATAACAGCTAACTTAATATTAAAAATGCTAGATGCGCAACCAATTTAATACCTCAAATTTGACCAATCAACTTGTAGGATTTGTTATATTCACTTGTGCAAAATACTAATTAATAGTTATTGTAAACCTACAGTATTTACTTGAAGACAAACTTAATTAAAGAGCTTTTTCAGACCTAAAAATTTCCACTAATTTGTTGAGTTCAATATTGTTGCTAGATCTCATTTGTGACTGCAACATACCCCACCTGTGTCTCATCAGATTCACACAAATTATTGAAATTTGAAAATTGATCCTTCAGGAAGAGAACTGGGGCATGAAAATTCATACTGCCACTGGCTGCTGTCATTGGGGGGAGGCTGCCTCGTCGCCAGGTGCTATAAGACGATTTCACATATGAGGGGATGCATGGATGCACTACATGCTTAAAAATGCTCAGGTTGTTGCAATACGGATGAAAACAGGATTGAACAATGCTTTGCTGCCCACATTGTTCACAGTTGCCAACAATATTGAACAATATTGTTACACCCGATTCAGGCTCAACAATATTGTTCAATATTGTTGACAAGTGTGAACAACATGGGCAGCAAAACATTGTTCAGTCCCGTGTACTTCCTGTAAACCTTTTATATAGTGACTCGTATGTGAAATCATTTTATAGCACCTGGGGATCAGGCAGGGCAGTTGAAAATGTGAAATCCAGGATAAACTATTGAAATATGCATGCAAGGCCAGGGGCAATTTTATATTTAACAAATATAAAACATTTTCCGTGTTGATATACAGTTATATCAACACGAGTGGAAATTGGGAAAACGAGAAATTGTGTGGAAACACGACGCCCGAAGGGCGGAGTGTTTTCACACAATTTCGAGTTTTCCCAACTTCCACGAGTGTTGATATAACTATATATCAATACGGAAAAATGTTTTATATTTTTTTTATAATATAGCAATGTCAAAAGCCCGAAGAATAAGAAAAATTTCCGTGTTACAAGCGGCGGAAAATTTCCCGTGTTGACATGGAGTTATATCAACACGGCTCTTAGCCAATCAGCGTTCAGAATTTACAAATGCTATATTATAAAAAGTATTGAGGCATGCCTCAGGCCATGGGAAAGTATAAGTACGTACTAGGAATTGCATCAGCAACACCTCACATTTCCAAAATGAACAACTATGGGTCCCAATCAATGACAAAATCCAAGGATATATGTGTTTGCTGTACATGGGCACGTGGCAAGTATTTTTTCTACATTTATGAGAAACGCATTCGAAAGATTATACTTGTTTTCACTGTAGAATTTTGATTCAATCCCCAATACATGTAATGTAGATTTGTTCTTAAACATACTATAAGTCAATCCTAAGGCGTTTACTATAAATTAAAACAAACTTACTTTAGCTAGATTGTTGCTTTAAATCTTTACATAAGAACTCGCCTTATTTTTGCATTGAGATCGATACTGAAGTGTGTGACGCGCCCGCGATCAATGATGACCCAGGCACCCCGGAAATAAAAATGAAATAAAGCTAATTAACGCTAATTATATATTCTCACCATGACGAAATCCGCCATTTTTGCGTGTCATCTAGTTCTCGTTAACCAATGCAGACAATTAAAACAATGTAAAAAGCAATTTTTCAAAATAAATTGACATTTACAAAGCAATTTACCATCGTGCATCCAAAAAATTATAAAAGTTCGCTGGACTTACCTCGCAGACATCAGCTGAAAAATACATCCAAAAATGGCGGCGTAAGAAAGGCTAATTGGCAGCGCCTGGGACTAGACTGACCGCCCTGGGCTCAACGGTACGAGGTTGCCCTGGGCTCTATGCCCTGGGCTTAGATAGTACGATTTTGGATGCTCCACAAGTCGTTTCACCATTTCCGAGCGGGTGAGAAAAATTATGGAGCGAAGCGCAGTTGAAAAAAATGCAGGAAAAGCAACGGGAAAAATCACTCATTTCTTTTGCATTACCTTCCTTGTTTCTCTGTCCGCTCGGAAATATTGAAAGGAAGGAGATTAGCCTGCATAGCTGGTGCCATATAAAGAGTTGAAGTATATATCTACTTTTTCTTTTCTTTTTAAACTATAGACATGAATTTAAGAAACCGGCAACGGAAGAAGACTTCCTTGACGGCGATTTTAAGAAAGAAGGAAAGAAATACAAGAAAGCGGTAGAAAACTGTGCAGAAAAAGATGAGTTCAAACACCAGGACAATAAGTTGAAAAGCAAAAACAATGCAAACCAAGGTCCTGACTTGTTGCAGTGTTCTGGTGGAAATGGGAATGATGCGCCTTCAATGAATCAACCCACAGTGAATCAAAGCGAACAATCCAGTCAAACCACAGCTAACCCAAGCCATGGATATGGAAATAATGGTGGAGGATTTGGAGGTGATGGCAATGATCCACCCAAGAGAAATCCCGAACGTCTTAAAGGACATTATCTTGAATCTGATGTACCTCTAAAGAAGAAAGGTATATTTGAATACACGCTTTGTTCTCATTGCAGTCATAATTTAAATGTACGAATAAACATTGTGTTCCACTCCAATCGTATCGAACCGTATACAATATCATTATATTTTATCTGGTGCTCCCAAAATATAGAAATACGCCATGTTTGGTTACGATACGTTTGGAGTAGAATATAAGCTTAATTACTTTCGCACAAGAAAGACACATTTTGTTTTGCATTGTAATATAGATGAAATGGCAGAAGACAATTTTAAAGTGCAACTTGAAACGTTGGTGATTCCAGTGCCATGTCCAGAAAGCTCTGGGTCAAGCAATGAGTCAACAGCGAATGAAAATAGATTAACCGCGCAAGACGAAAATGAGTCAAGCGAGATGCAAGTAGACAGGCCTTTGTCCTTGGAAAATATGTCTCTGTCTGACGACAAGAATAAAAACTCTCAATCTTCAGACAATGAAATTGGAGTTGGTCTGCTGGTTGGAAATGAAGTAGGCTTGCTGAATGGAAATGAAGTAGGTTTAGTGGATGGTTTTGGACAAAGTGCGGTGTATGGAAATTGGTCAAGTGCTGCGCCAATGAATACTGTGGATATGCCTTCAGATAGCGAGAACGAGCATTCAGACGATGACGTCGACAATGACGGAAATATTGGCCAGAATGTAAGTTATTTTTAAATGAACTAGAATTTATGATTATTATTATCATTGGTATACTGTATGTTATAGTTCAATCTTCATACAATAAAGTATGTATGAAATTAACTTTATCTATAATAATTTGTCTAAGTTAAAAGTAATTGTTAAACATTGCGTTGGCCACCAACTGCAATACCAAACAATATAGAAAAATGTCGTTTGTGGGATTTTACTGTTCTGTTAAATAGTAGAGCTGTCAGAACTGGCCATTCATTTATTCAACAATTAGGAAAATTGTGTTTTGTAGGATTCTGAAACTGTTGTGGAACAACATTTGCCTGACAACATACCAATATTCCACCGCAACGAAAACAACGAAACGCAAACTTTAAAATCACCTTACAAACTTTTGCATAAATTCCAGGTTAGCTTTAAACTTATTTTATAATTCATGTGCAATAAAATACCCTGCTTCCAGAGGCTCTTTGCGAAGCGAAATCTTTGCGAGGCGAAAGAAACGAGAGGCGAGAAGGAAGAGCCTCTGGTCACGTCGGTTGCAAATCCCACTTCTGCACTTGATTAGGTTCAGAATTTGAATCTTGCATGTGATTGGTCATTTGTAAAAATATGTCAAACCGGTTTGGGAAATAAAGCCGGTTACACACGAGTAAGTTTTCTAATGTATATGACAAGTTTTTATGTGACAAGTTTTATTTGCTCGTCTGTACGCGCAACTTTGACAATTTTTTCAATGACAAGTGCACTTGTTCAAAAGCTAGCATGCTAGCTTTTGACCCAATGACCAAGTGCACTTGTGACTTGTCATAGAAAAAATTGTCAAAGTACAAATTTTGTTCGTCTGTATTCCCTTTTGTTCAAGTCACGGATAGGTGACTTTCCTAAAGGCCTGATTCCACGAGCGCTTTTTCCGTCGGCGAAATGTAAATATTTCGCCTGTTTCTTTTGAATTGCGACCACTCGAATAAATTATTTCTACTTGAATTTTTCTGTGTTGGTGTTGTGTACTCAGGTGAATAATATGTTTGCGATGTTACTCTGAGTGCATATCCACACCGGGCGAGCTTGAAAAATATGCCCGGCCACGGTGGGATTCGAACCTACAACCTTTGGATACTAGCCCAATGCTCTTCCAACTGAGCTACGCGGTCAGGACGGTTCGAGTAAGTGATATTTCGGAACAGTATCTAGTTCCTTCAATACCAATGTGTTCTAGTAATATGAATTAATATGAATGGGCTAGTATCCAAATGGGCTAGTATCCAAAGGTCGTAGGTTCGAATCCCACCGTGGCCGGGCATACTTTTCAAGCTCGCCCGGTGTGGATATGCACTCAGAGTAACATCGCAAACATATTTCTAGTTGATTGCTCATAATTCAAAAGAAACAGGCGAAATATTTCTTATTTCGCCGAGAAAAAGCGCCCGTGGAATCAGGCCTTAAAACATTTCTATTGGTTAGTTGGGCAAAACGTGACGGTGAAGGAGTAGATTTATGAATAAACGTTGACCAACATAGATAATGAGTTATATTGTTATTCTAATGAGTTTCACAGCCATCTTCCCTTCGATAGGCTATGGTATGGGTCAGCAAAGAAAAGTTGTCAAAGTAATCTGAGCATTTGATGTGATTGGCAAGCGGACTATTATAATTTTTCTGTCATGGGAGCGATATACACCTTTTTCTGACACGTTCACACCAGTAAATAAAACTTGTCATATGAAAACTTGTCATATAAAATTTGTTGCAGCACACGTGCACTTGGCAAATAAAACTTGTCACATAAAAACTTGTCATAGAAAACTTGCTCGTCTGTAACTGGCTTAATCATATATTTATAGCTATAAATGGCTATAATTAGCTTACAGTAATGTTTATTTCCCAAACCGGTTTGACATATTTTTACAAAAGGCCAGTCACATGCGAGATTCAAACTCTGAACTTAATCAAGTGTGGAAGTGGGATTTGCAACCGATGTGGCCAGAGGCTCTTCCTTCTCGCCTCTCGTTTCTTTCGCTCGCAAAGATGTCGCCTCGCAAAGTGCCAAAGAGCCTCCGGAACCAAGGTAGCAATAATTAAAAATAATAAGTCAAGCAAACCAAGTTATGTATCGTCTCGTTGACTAAGGACTTATAAGGTCATTGTAGATTTACGTGCATGGAAAGTATATTGTTTTTCTGTTTGTGGATAACATTGCCTTTATTTGAAAAAGATTTTAAACTCTAAAACTGTGCAACTATTTATGGCACAAACCATACAACGAGCGTATAGTACGTATAGTATAGTCCAAATGAACATTTACTTAGATTTTTGAGACAATAAAAAAACATTGTTGTTTTCCAGATCCGTGAGTATTGAATAACATTTTCATTACCATTATACTGTATGAACTTTTCTTTGTAGCGTGGGTTAAATGTTGGCATTCATGATGGCCTCTGTCTGCCCGACCGTGATTTTGTCATCCTGAGTAAAATTGGTTGTGGAAAGTTTGGAGTTTGTTACGAAATCTTGGAGATAAAATCTGGAAAGAAATTTGCGTTAAAAAAGGTAATGTATATATATATATATATATATATATATATATATATATATATATATATATATATATATATATATATATATATATATATATATATATATATATATATATATATATATATATATATATATATATACTCTGCTCAGCCGACAAGACTTCATATGTAACAAACAGAACGGCTACGTTTGAAGAAGCTTATTAAAAAAAGATATATTAAATACAAAAACTAAATTTTCGGCTGCATGCCACAGCCTTCTTCAGAGTGCCTATAGCTTTACACAGAACATACTTACATACAATAAATTATGAATAAATTACTATTGTTGGGCGAAATCATGACTACCATTAAGGCCTTTCCGGTTGGTCAACAACATTCCTATCCAAAAGTTTTCACTCTTAAGTACTTCACTATGGTGTTGGTCAATAAGCATAAATTTTAAGCTCGAATGGTCCGCCTCATGCACATCAATAAAATGATTTGTTATACTGCATGTCCGGCGCTTATGCTTAATGTGTGATTTGTAGTTAGCTAGTCTGGACTTAAAATTGGCCGTAGAGCCAACACCTTGCAAACCACAAAGCACACACTCAGCAAGATACACTACATTACTGGAAGTGCACGTCAAAGATTTTAAAATGAGAAATATCCTTCCAGTGGCAGCTGCACGAAACGAATTGCCAAAAATCAAAAAGTTCTTACAACTATCACAGCGCTTGGCATCACATTTGTAGCAGCCTTCACCTTCCAGTTTATTAGGCTTATATGGGTTAGATGGTGCTAATAACTCCTTCAAATTGGCATTACGCTTATACGAAACAAGAATGGCACTCTCCGGTAGAATTTTTTTAGCCTGTTCATCACTATCTAAAACAGAGCGATGTTTACGAAAATTTTTTCGAATATCAGGAGCACTAGGATTAAACTTGGTAACAAAAACACAGGAATTACGACGAACTTTACGTCTACTGGTAAACGCTTCCTCACGAGTCATAGCACAAACCACCTCAAAGGCTCTATTGACATGTGCACTGTCATGGCCGCAATCCGTAAGATATTTCATATAAATCCCACTTTTTTCCCAAAAATCAGCGTCCCTAGAGCATATGTGACGCAATCTACATGCCACTCCTTTGGCAATACCCAAAATTTGAGATTTTGGGTGCGACGAATTGGCATTGAGATACAAGTGTGCGTCCGTAGGCTTACTACAAACTGTAGTTTCCATACGATTATTAACTATGGAAATCAAAAGATCGAGAAAATGCAAACTACGCCCACCCACATCCATAGTAAACTGTAGATGCGGGTCGAATGTGTTGAGATCCTGAAAAAACGCTTGAAGCCGTTCCATGGTACCCCGCCGTAACACAATAGTATCATCTCGAAATCTAAACCGTCATCTCAGTTCAGGATAAATAGAACGAGATTCTAGAACATTTTTATCTATCTCTTCTGCGACAATATCGGC